TGAACAGTTACACAGGAACTGCTGATGAAGTTCTTGCAGAATGCCATTTCCTCGCGTTTTTTAGTACATGCCCGGGCAGTTTGCCGCGCTCTCACACAAGGCCCGGATAGCTCAGTCGGTAGAGCATTGGACTTTTAATCCAAGGGTCCAGGGTTCAAGTCCCTGTTCGGGCGATTTGTTTTTTTTTTAATTACTTTCTTTTTTGAAAAACAGAATTTTTTTTTTGTTTTTATTTAAGCCCAGTTGAGTCATCAAACAATGTAGTGCCGTCCGTGCTTTCCTCGTCTCAGTTGGCAACGCAGCTGCGATAAAGCAGTGTGTCCACACTGCTTCGCGTCGATAAGGTGGTGCATCGATAAAGCAGTTTGCCCGAACGGAATGGAAGCGGTGACGTGTGGCTGAGTATTAGACGCAGGCACTCCGACTGGAAGGTTGGCAGCTTCTGTAATCACGCTTCTGTGAGGTCCGATTGTGGGATGGCCTGAGGCTGGGATCTACTGTGTAGCGGACCAGCCCATGTTGACGGAACGTCCGCACTAAGCTCGCCATCAATATGGGTGCCATGGAGGAGTCCGTGGCATTCAGGTTGGCTAAGGAGGGATGAACCGGGCCAGGGGTGAAAACCAGCAGCCAAGAGTTCCCGTGGTAGGCAGTAGTGGGATAGCGTACCGGAGTGGACTGCCGTTATCAGCCCAACCAATATGGTTGGACCACAATCTTTTTGCCGTTTGCTTGTTTGCTCCAAAAAGTTTCCTTTTTTTCTGATAGATATCTAGCTTTTTCCTCTCTGGTTGTCAAAACAATTAGTTATCAAAAAGTTAAACACAGTATAAAGGAGAAACTTTATTTTCCTGTCGCATATTTAATTTATTTAAAACATTAATTGCGAGCCACTTATTTGTTCCATTTTAGATTATATCGACTCTTGCTTAAGGGCTCATAAAAAAAATAAATGCCGCCCGAACAGGGACTTGAACCCTGGACCCTTGGATTAAAAGTCCAATGCTCTACCGACTGAGCTATCCGGGCATTCGAACGTCTGCCACCAAAAAACATTACTTACAGGAACAGAATTTCTTTTTCCTTCAAATACAAGATCACTATATGTTTCATAAATAATAAGAAGTTATTTATAGTTTTTAAACTATTTTTGCTCTTGAATGGAATGTAAAATGTGTCAAATATAAATATATATATAAGTACATACAGAACAGTTTTTCAAGCAAATGTATTTGTTTGACCGTATTTTACACTGAATGTGTCTTACAAAAAGTTTGACGAGTTGACAAACGCGTTTCGTTTGTGAATAATTTGTTTCAGTGCATAATAAATTTGTATTGTATATGAATATGCAAGCAGTATAAAATAAACAAAAATATATTTTATCACATTTTACGAATTAAAATGTAGATAGAATAGTATACAACAATACTAAAAAATTAAACGGCAGTTCTTTAAAAAAATTTAATATTTGTAATATTTTATTATATTGTTCCTGCGGCAGCTGCAAGATATAGTCACCCGATCGGAATATATGCGTGTCCTGATCAAGAAAGCTAACTTCGTTTAGCCTTGTAGCTAGTACCATTTCATGCAGTTAAATAAAATAAAAATAAACATAAACCCGTTTTTTATAATTAAAAATTATATTTTAAATTGTAAAATAATTGTATCTTACAGAAAATAATCTACGTTTCCAAAATAAGAAAGCTTGCAAAGCTTTCGATAAGCTTTTTCGGGCCTGACACTACCAGTGTGCTTTCTCGACCCGTTTGCTTATGTATGACATTTTGACGACTTCTGTGTACAATGCCCGGGTAGCTCAGTCGGTAGAGCATTGGACTTTTAATCCAAGGGTCCAGGGTTCAAGTCCCTGCTCGGGCGGCCCTTTTTTATGTTATTTTCACTGAAAACCATGTTTTATTTTTTGGTTTTGTAATGTATCAAACTCAATTTAGATCACCTCCGTGCAATGCTTTCAGACATTTTTCCGTCCTAGCAAGTCGTGCATAGCAGAGAAACGAAACTAGAAACTCGAAGAGAAATCGCACAGCAGCCAGGCCAACATCTAATTGAACCCTCATGAAATTAGCACCTTTTATTTGTGTTTCCATTTACTGTCGACATCGTGGATATACCCAAATTGTGTGCTGTACAACGTTCCCTCCGCTTTCTGTATCTATAGATACTGCCGTATCTACTACTCCACGGATATGTGTCTGCGAGTTTTCGTTAGAGATTGTGTGAGTGCGATGTTTGCTAGACTCCGTCGGCAAAACGAAGAATCCGGCTTTTATTGTTCGACGTTTTTGGAGTACAGAGATAAACTTTATATATGTACAAAATGCTCCCCAATATATAGAGTTTAAATACCTTAGGAATAAAATGAATTTTTAAATTTTTGAACCAGAGCTTACACATTCCACGGATAAGAAATAAGAGTAACTACCGAATAACCAACTAGTATTTAAGGTGTTTAACCTATGGAACATGCCATGCGGTATTTCTTTCAGTGCTACTGGATACGCTCAAGAATTTTTGACACACTTTCCGCCAAAGACAAAGAAACGGGTACATATAGTCTGTACCGATACCAAATCGTGGCGGCTCTGGTCGATTTAGCAACGGACTTGGATGCTGGCTGTTTGTTGCCGCCTGCCAAGTGAACTAGAAAACGAATGCGTTTAATTAGCATTCATTACGACGAATCATCAAATTGCCCCACCGCTCACGATGCAACAATAAAAGCAGGGACGAAAGGTCCGAGAGGAGGAAACGTTTGGTGTACATGCTAATCTACAAAGTAAACGCAAATATTTAGATGATAAACCAAAGCCAAGAGACTTTTCAAAACTGTTCCATGACGTTGGGTGATGTGCTAGGGAGAAATTCCATCAAGGCTGCGACCATTAGCGACCTTTTACCTGTTGTTACCAGGGGTTTCGGACCGCTCCAGGTAGCCATCGCATAAAAAAGAAAATCCTAGAGGAAATATGGGCCATAAATTAAAAATGGCAAACAAGAATGAGACAATGGGTTTCCCTCGTTAGAGCCGGAGATCAGCTTGCATTTCTCATTTCATATTTTCTTCGGTCGCTTATGACAGATTTCCAAAACACAAATGGCGAATGTCAAAATATTCTTCAGTTTTTTAGAATGACATCTGCCTTATGATAATACGAAGAATTATCGGAGTGTACTAAGCGGATTGACTGCACAATCATGTTGCATAAGAAGAGGACATTAGTAACATCTACAGCTTGAAAGATATCAATTAATTAACTTTAAACCGTATTTTGTCGACAGTTAATCACCATTTAATTGCACAATTACTTCAATTGGACTACAAATTTTAAGTTAAAATGTTTTAATTAGTTTAGGAATAAAAAAATAAAGTACAGCACGGTTATCTTTAGTTTTAGTTTTTATTTTAATTTAGTCTATTAAGATTTCAAGATAAAGGGCAATTCTGATTCTAAGCGAGCTGCACTTTCTGGTAAAATACATATATTGGCAACGAATAATTCTCCCCACTGAAAAGAAGCTAATTAATATATTTCCCTTTATTGACTTTCATAACTGAGTTGGCAAATGGTTACAGTTAATGGTGTCCCCATCGATGGCTAACTGGGTAATTATCAGTGCAACAAATTTGAATTTAACGAGCGCATCAACACCAGACTCCGCCCACTGCTCTAATCCCATCTTCCGATGAATGGGGTCTTCCAGGACCTCTCGAGGACCTCGAGTCTCCCTAGCGAGGATTTCCTCAGCAAAGCGACGGTCTGATTAATGAGGCTTTAAATATCCCACTTTGATTTCATTCTGAAAACACGCGGAGTGTTCTCGTCGCCGCTTCGACAAAGAAGTTTCATTGACTCTCAGCTCGTTTGGAGAGTACGAAGAGGGACCGGAGGGGCGACAGGGAAATAGATATATGTATATGTATAATGCTGAGCTGGCCTCGTAAATCGCCGAGTAAACCGAGGTCCTCCTACGCACACACACGGACATCCATTGGAGAACTGAGCACGCTGGAAACAGAGTCCACAAAAGTCTACAAATGAGCTGGATGGTTTCGAACTCTCCCAAGAACAAACCCATATTGTTGTGTCCTGGAAAACTTATAGCAGGAGGTCCTACACTCCGCAAAACAGTTAAGGATAAGACTGGAAAATATTGGGATAGGATATAAGGATTAGCTATGTTAAAGTTATCTTAAAATGGTTAAACAATGCAATTAACCGAATTTTTAATCTGGCCACATTGGCATTTCTTTAAATATTTTTTCTAATTTTAAACAATAAAAATTATTCAATATATTACAAAACATTTTTGACTCACAGATAAAATGCCTTAACATATTGACAGCCTGATAAAGTTGTTACACTTTTTTAGCTCTGTTGACTTCTTGCTTACGGCATAGATATGGATAAAAAAATATTTTTAAGTTTGGTTTATTAAAGTGAGCCGCCTTTTAATTAATGACCACATTTATAATTCGTAAAGTTGAGGGAACTAACGAGAGTCTATGGAAATTATGAATGCAGACCATTAAATTTGATTAATATCAACATAAAGTGGTAGAAGGAATAGAAAACAATGATCGGGAGATATTAAAATAAAATACTATATAAAAAAGTAAGTTCTATTGACTGCTGCACGAATCTTTCGCTTAAACTCAATATTACCTTGAATACTAAGGAAAGTAGAGACATTATTGTATACTTTTCTGCCAGTGTGCCGTGCGCTCTCTTCTGCAGCCTGGCTCTCTCCACTCTTGGGCCACACACAACCCAGATCCAGACCCAGATCCAGATCCCGGGGAGGGCAGGGCAGGGGAGGGGTGGCAGCGGGAGAGCGGGCATTATGGCTGTTATCAACTTGGCAAAAAAGACCGCTTACCGCTCGGCGGACGTCGACTGCGCTGAAATGGTGAGCTGAGCTCACTTCAGTTTCAGTTTGAAATTTGACGCCGAGCGCGGCGGAACGTTGGGTGTTCTGCTCACAGAAAAAAGCGGCCACCGCCAGCCGCTGCTTCTGCTGGCGTCGCCGCAGCAGAGCAGCCATTATCCTGCAGGAGGCTGCGACCTGATCCCTGGGCCGTGCAATTAGCATGGCTGCGAAATAAACGAAAGCCGAAAAGGCCAGCGAATCCACAAATACTCGAAAAACTCGGTGCCAAAGTGTTGAAAATACAGGGGATGTATGTTCCCCAAAATATATTGATTGCCAAACTAGTAAAACCTCAAGTAAAAATGGATTTAGAGCTGCATTCCGAGCAGGTATGTTTGATAGTTCCAAATCCATACAAATATTTATACAAAATTTCCTTAAAAAATAAGCTGGGCAAAAGTCACCATGTCACTACGCATGTGCACTAAAAGGGGGCTGAGTGGGCGGCCTGGGGAGGTGGGCTGGTGGGTGGCCTTAGTCAATTGCCGTTTCCAAAGCCTGCGCCTGTCCTCGTTTTGACTCGTCGTCGCCTCTGCATGAGTGTATCTGTGTGCTCCGTGTGGAGAGTGTGGTAGTGTGGTAGTGTCGCGAACGCCCGGAAATGTGCTCCTTTCATCCACTTTTCATTTGCGCAGAAACACACACTCTGAAAGCCACCCAACCCCTCCCCAACCCCTGCAATCCCAAAAGTCGGGCGCAAAAAAAGAGAAAAAACCCGAAACCGAGTTTCAACCTCGTTGTCGCGCTATCAGCAGCAACAACAACCCCCTGGCAAAGGCAACCCAACCCCCTTTCCCCTTTCTCCTCCCCCCTTACCAATTTCAATTTCCCCGCTCGTGGTGGAAAACACTTGTCCCGCCATTTAGTGCATGGGTTAAGTAGTATACCGAAATACTAGTGCCATTGGCTCTGCCCAAGAAAGCGGCGACAGCTGCTGCAGGCCACCCACCCATCATAATCCCGTAATGGAATCGGGGGCGGCAGCGGGTGGCCAAGACGATGATTATCGGGTCCAGATACGCCAAGTGGCAAAGTGTTAAGCCTCGGGATGAGAACGGGATGATGATGATGATGGTGGTGATGGCGATGGTGACCCATCCCCAAGATTCCTGCGGCGGCTGCATTTAATGCGAGTGCGTACATAGCGAGCTGCAATACATTACACACACTGGGAAAAATGTAATCAAACTGCTGAGTACTTCCAAGGATTTCCGAGTAGTACCCTTTTTAAAAGTTTTTTTTACTATTTCAAGTTGCATCCCGATTATATTACTACTGGTACACAACAATAATATAATACTGTATATTATATTTAGTAACACTGTCAAAATAGTCAGTAAAATATTTAAGAATAGGTATTTGAGAATGTGAAGTTATTTCTTTTACTGTGTCCAAACTAAGTTATTGTCGAGAACTGCAATCTTTACTTAAAAATGTTTAGACAGCACAATATAATACTAAAACTTGAGTGTTTTTTAAGCTAGCCGTTTTACTAATAATTCCAAGCACCGATATTATTAGTTTATAATTGTTTTTCGTTTGTGTTAGGAGATAATCTTTTTTCTGTGTGGTTGCACATACCCCTCCACATAGTGCTTCTGTGCGAATTTTGCGTGGGGCTGCGCGTAAGGTGCGTGTCATCCGATTTCTGCCAGGGATGCGCAGCATTATGGCGACGCTTTCGCTCCGAGGAACCCCCCGAAAAATCTCCCTTTTTGGATGAGGTCGCAGCGTAAGAGAAAGCGGTTGCACCCAAAAATCAAATGGTTTTGTTACCGTTTTTCGATTTTACCAATTGTTTCTTTACTCATTTAGTATGCAAATGGTTCGAACTAAAACCGGCAACTGACTAATAACCTAATGAGCAGGTGACGGCGACAAAACTGCTGGGTCACAGGCTTTATAGGAAAAGCCAAGTAAATAAGAGTTTATCGCTATTTTATGCATTCGCTGACGTCGGCTATTGAAACCATGGACAGCCGGCCAGGGGTTTTGTGCCTTTTTCTCAAATTCGGAGACCTGTTCGTCTCAAAGTTTGGCTGATATCTTTATGAAGGTGTTGTGCCAACAAGTTTGTTTGTTTTTGGGCTTTGACCTCAATATGAATCATAAATTTGCCTGGGCTATTGTATAATTATTCGGCTTGTCCACATGGCCCACAAATGCATGCAATGTTGGCTGAAATTCCTCTGGGCAATTAAAACCTTTTACAAGGGAGCTAGGCTGGGATCTATTTGGAGAGAGGGAGTGCCCGAGATTAGATATGAATTTTTAACAGTTTGCATTGGGAATGTGCTGCTCATAAATATGAATAAGCAGAGGAAAGTGTCAAGCGTTTTCAGATGCGAATCTGTTGACTGTTAACGAGAAGTCTGTTTCACAGTTTTCACAGTTCTGTGTCAATGGGTCACCAAATAATTGAGGCTATGCTGCATAAGTCATTAAGTGCAGATATGCAAACGAAAACATATATGCGGTGAATTAATAAATATTTTTTATGTTTCACTTAAAAATAATGAACGTTAAATGCATTTGTTGAATGGCGCAGTACCTTATTCGATTCACAAAAATCCCACAACAAACAAACAGTCCTAAAATAAAAACTTCCAAACCGGTTCATATGTTAATTGTTTACAATCTGAATTCTTACGTCAGAACAAGGCACCAAAACCATTTTGGAAGCCCCAAAAACCCCCTGAGAAATTACATTCACCTCAGAATCGACCTTGCCACATGCTGCATTTTTTATGAACATACTTTCTTATCGAATTTCTGATATTAACATACCCTTAGGACTACGTTTCAAACAACCCCACTTAGAACCAAGCCGAACGGAGCTGGAAACTTCTTCCACCTAAATTGGGGTAACTGCAGTATGACATATTTATTGGAATTTCATGCAAATTTTCAAACAATCAGCCAGTCGGGGGAATGCAGCTGGCCTGGGAACTTACACTTCGTAAAGTGTACAGTGAACAAAACTAATCTAAAGAAGGTATCAGTATAAAATTATATGATAATAACTATAAAGTATAGTTGTTTAATAATATTGTAAATATATAAAAAATGTTTGCTTTTGATTCTAAAAGACATGGGCACTATTATAAAAAGGAGTTAATATTAACATTAATCATTTTTTGAAATAAATGGTACTTTCCATTCTGTCAGTCAGTAATTTTGCGAATATTTAGTATTGACAAACGATTTCTTAGCCTGGAACCACTGTTTTATACGCCGCCACCTGAGAACGCATTTCTGTTGCCCGCGCATTTTCATTAAGCCCACTGAAAAGATAAATTAAGACACTAAAAATAAATAAAATGCAAAAAGAGAAGGAAACAACAAGAATCGCGAAAGGAAGGCGCGTATTTTTGTAAACAACAAACAGACACCGACAATATCGGGATAGAATAAAACGGAGACGCAGACCGGTATGCGAGCCCCATACGATGGATATGGGGTAAAGATACCGATACCTATACAGATTCAGATACAGATGTACAGATACAAAATGCCGCAAACCTGGGCAGGTTCAAAATAAATGCAAAAAATCGCGAACCGCGAACCGTTTTCGGAATTTCTTTCTCAGTTCTCTTTCAACATTTCTACCTGCCTCTCGATTTTCGCGGCGAATAGCAGGAAGGTGAAGTAGCAATAATAATATTATTCAGTAAACTGAAACAACCTTGGCCTCCGAAGCTCCGCGCTCGATGCAAACAACTCAACATGGCGAGGGCACAGTGGGGCAACGGTGATTGAATAGTGACGCGCGAACTCGATGCACAGTGACACTTGGCACCGAACTGACCAAGGTAAATGATCTGCCACCTCCCCACACCCATCGCGCCCCAGACAGAGACTTTGATTTATGTGCGAAGTTGTCTTCATGTGCTTAAAGCAACATTGCGAAAATTTAGCCAGTCATTGCCCCTTTGTGCGGCCGTATCTGTTGCTGGATGGTCGATGGTTTATGGGTCTGGTCAGGGAATAGGCTAGCAGATGGCAGGAGGGGACACACTGGGAAAAATACCCGAAGCCTTGTGCGAATCACCGTTTTAAATTGAAAAATGAACTACTTCATATTAAGTATAGAAAATCCTATTTCAAAATTATTTATCTATTTAGGCTTATAACCTTAAAAATAACGTTAAATACCAAAATTAGATGAAGGAGTGAATAAGAAAAAAATTCGAATTTTGCATCTTAATCTATCCGTGTTTTCAAAATATGAAAGTGTGATTCAAAAGTAGTGTCCTTATTTATGAAAGATTTGATTTATGAAAAGATTTTAAAGATTTAGGGGCTTGGATAACATATTTATACAGAAATAAAAAAAGGTATATTTACTATTCACCCACCAATAACTTCTCAATTTTTCCTAAGTAATTTTTCTGAGTGCACAGGTGACTGGGGAAGATACGCATTCTTTACTCACCTTTTGTGCACTTTTCGCGCTACTTCCGGAGGGGATTGCTCTTGGGGTTTCTCTTCGTACCGTACTACTGTTATTGCATTTGAAGGCAGAATATAAGCGCCTGAGGAGTTACGAACTTTTATTCGAAAAATCGAATTGATTGAGTGATTCATGTGGCTTACAAAACTGAGTTATTAGGTTAGCCAAAAGTAATTAATGGACTTCCTAAGCCTGCGGCTCGATTGAAAATCGCTTTGGTGTGGCTATCAGCAAACAAAAATAGCAAAAGAATTACCAAAGACCGCCGAAATTATATCGGACTTGCTCGTACATCATACTTATCAGTATAGATAGGGTCTGAGGTATCGGGGGAATAGTTTGTAAGTTAATTAATCAATGTTTTTAGGTAACAAAAGGCGATTAAATCGGTTTGTCGAGTTAAAGATGAAATTTGACAAGAACAATATTGAGGCCATTACAAAGGCTTTTTGTGAGTGTTGAACGTTTAACATTGCCTACGATGTAAAGTTTCGTTGTCGAAGAATTAATAGAACTTTTCGGATAAAAAAAGAATGAATGGGTAGTAAAAAGATAGAGGAAAACAAACATTTTATAGGTAAAATATAAAACTGAACAATAAATAGTTAATGTTAAAGTTGTTTCTTCAACTTTCTAATAACTGCCAACCAACAAATACATAACGTGAATCCGAATTAATCAGCTAATATATATGAGGCTCAGGTTTATATATCGAACATATTGAATTTAATGTGGTGTTTTGTCATAAAGAGAACTCACCCGATAAATAAGACTTGTTCAACTAGGTATCTTGAAATCAAACAGAGTGACACCCCCGACTAAAAATATATTTTTACAATACCCCACTATAACCATACTATCATTAGCATCTCGGCATGACTGTACACAATGGCCGTGAATTGTAAGTTAACTTTAAACGCCGTCAACCGCAAAATCCTTCGCTCGCTCGGGCGCAACAAATTAACGACAGATCTATTATTTCCATAATATATTTAATGTTGCCAAATATTTGCACTGCATTAGCGGGCTTCGGGAGGCATGTGTACTTCCTGACGATTTCGCGCTAAGTGTTGGCTTCTGACCACGTGAAATCAATTAGCATTTCTGATTCGGGGGTGCCGTTGGGCTGGGGTGATGTAATATATTTTTGCGGACTCCGATTTGGCAAGACGGCGTTAATTTGGCCAAGGTGTTGAAATATGGAGCACTTTGCCAACGAGCTTCAGCTGGATGATCACAGAAATAAACGCGACTTTGTCCCAGCTGCCTTTTGCCTGCGTGGTCCTTCACCCCTATTTTGCTGCCGAAAGAAGTCCTTGCTACCCCTTGTGGATTGTGTGTACACATTTGGAGAGCCCTCTCCCGCTCTCCCGCTCTCTCTATCCCTCTCTTTGAGGCAGGGTAAAATAAAACACCGAGCAGCCATGTTGAGGCTGCAAAAAGGACAACAAGGGCTGCAGACAAAGAGGCACCGCAGGCAGACAGAAAGAGAGGGAGCATCAGGGGGTGTGCAAAGTCAAGCGATTCGTCCTTTCTCCTTTGTTTACGCAAGATTTGTTGCCATTACGGCCCCTAATCCGGGGGATTTCTAGGGTAACCGTAGCCCGCCGGCCCCGAAAAGGTTTTTGACTTTGGCAGCTTAGTACTGTCTAAGGCCGGCCGTTTAGTGCTAATGAATCCTGCTAAAAAGTCATTAATTAATTGAAATTTCATTACAGGACACACAAACTACACGGAGCATCTGCCGGAACTCCCTCCACCTCCTCCTCCTCCTCCTCATCCTCCGGCCATTACTCAGCAGTCTTAGCAGGGCTTAGTGCTGAATCATCGGCACCATCGTTACCGATTACCAATTTACTCATTTACCGATTTGGAGCAGGAACGAGAAGGCTTAAGAAGTGGCGCCCAACGCTGGGAACTGCTTCTTCTGCTTCTTCCACTGGCGACAGCGATCCAGGTCGGGAGCTTAGCGAGGCGACTTGCTGATTGATTTCAGTGCAAACAGAAGACCCCGGAGCCAACTCCCCGCCCTCGGGCAGATCTATCATTCATTAAATGTGTTTCTTGTCTATCCAATTTCCAGGCCGCGCACCCATTTTATCGACGTGAAGAAAGTGCCGTAATCCGGGGGCAATCAATTAGATACAAGCGCACTAAGCACTCCCAAAGACATCGCCGTATCTTATCTTATCGCCGCTTCTTCCGATAAGGTCGGGCCTTACTTTCCGCACTCTGTTTTTTTCGGACTACTGCCTAATCTCGGGGCCCTCGGCGAGGTCTTGGCTTCAGTTGGTTTCCAGAGGCGAGGGCGAAGACAACACGGAGCTGGCTCCTGCGGCGGAAAGGCTTCCGTGACTCTCCGGACACGGACACGGACACGGACACGAACACGGACACGGAGACCTCGCGATTGCCTCCATTTAATTGGCAGGCCACCGCGAGCTTTGTAATCACATTTATGGGTCGTTCCATAATTTCGAAGGGAATCAGGCAAACGGTTGTATAGTAGTCGCCAGCCATCGCCGCATCACGTGTGGCACGATAAATATAATATACCCGAGGCGCATGTAATTGCCCCGCCGCCTAAATTACCCCGTCTTGTACACACACATTGTATATGTTTATTAACATTTTCACTTTTTTGCAGCCGTGATTGCCCACCCTGAGTTCATTTCGCCCCTGCGACTGCTCTCCTCCAGTTTGCTCCACGTCTACCCTGTAGATCCGAATTTGTTTTATACTAGCTTTAAGGACAAATTCGGTTCTAGAGAGGTTTGTGTGGTTCAATATCCATCGTAAATCCATCATTTGAAGTGAACCCTAAATGAAGTGATAAAGTGAACAAAAACATGGTTATTACTAATAGAATTGATTTAAGAAGTGACCTAAATTAACCAAAAGGAACACAAAGAAGAAAAAATAGAGATTAGAGCCCCGGCTTCAATTAACAAATGTAAAAAATGTAATAGAACTAGATAATAATATAGTTATTACACCTACTCCAGGATGACTCACCTTCATTAAATAACACCAATTACTGTTGCCAAGTAATAGATAACTTTCAGTGCTTACCATAAAATCCATGATAATGAATGGCTGTTTTGACACAATTTTCTCCTTCTTTCATTTATAGATAAGGTAACAAGTATTAAAGTTTCACTTTTCAATGTCAATGATTCAGAGGCGAAGGAATTTAAAAACTGAAAACTATTTATCAAAAGTCCGGCAGAAAATTTTAATTTTTACAATTTAGAGTTTTCCAGTATACTTTTTGTTTACATGCTTTTCCATTGTTATTATATTTACTAACTGAAATAGTTTAGTTTTTAATTGGAAACATGTATTAAATACATACATATTTGGAAATTGAATTTATGATCAATTTTCTTTAATTAAAATTTAATTGTGAAAAAAAAAAACAAATAAAAACAAGGAAGAACGCTATAGTCGAGTACCTCGACTATCAGATACCCGTTACTCAGCTAAATAGAGATGTGCAAGCAGCAAAGCGAGGTTAAAATGCGCCACCTACCGGCGGTATACAGAATTAAGCGTTATGGGCGTTAGAGTGGGCGTGGCAAATTTTTTTTTTTTGATCAATGGATAGGTATTGACGAGACCAATACATTTCAGTTAAAATTTTTTATCTAGCATAAAAATTGTGGGCGTCACAGGTTTTCGCGGTTTGTGGGCGTTTAAGTGGGCGTGGCAAACTTTTTTTTGGGTCTATCGATAGGTATTGATGAGAACATTACATTTCAGTTAAAATTTTTATTCTAGCATCAAAGCTGTAGGAGCCACAGTTTTGGGCGGCTTGTGGGCGTTAGAGTGGGCGTGGTACTCTACTGAAACAAACTTGCGCTGCGCAGGAATCTCAGGAACCTGCGTGCCTAATCCCAGTATTGTAACTCTCATAGTTTCCGAGATCTCAGCGTTCATACGGACAGACGGACAGACGGACATGGCTAGATCGACTCGGCTAGTGATCCTGATCAAGAATATATATACTTTATGGGGTCGGAAACGCTTCCTTCTGCCTGTTACATACTTTCCGACGAATCTAGTATACCCTTTTACTCTACGAGTAACGGGTATAATAATTTGATTGTAATGATTGATTATAATTGTATGTTTTTTTTGGTAGTCAGTAATAAAATTCGAATCATCAACCCTCGGGAGAGTAGTCTTTTTCAAGAATTTTTAGATCCTTCAATTGAATTAAGCACCACATTTCAAATTTCTGGCTACCGGACATGGGGTAGTTAAGTGTTGTTATTGCTGAATTCTTTCGCTTTCATTTATATTCCTGCCGACTTCAATTTATTCGATGTGTTGCATAAAATTTACATTTTCACAATTTTGCATACAAATTGCTATTACAATTTCGCAGAAGGGTGTGGGTGCGGTTCCTCTCTACATGGCTATATGTATGTATGTGTGCCTTACCAAGGCTTTTGGGTCAAGTCGATTGTGTGGCGTCAATTTCTGGTCGTGTTTGTGGGGGCAGGATTGTCGAAGCTTGCAGTTTTGCGAAAATGTCCCTGCACTTTGCCCAATTTGCATAGGACGCCACTTGAGTCACATCCTTTGTCCGTTATGCCCGGATACCTATTCGTTTCCGAAAGGAATTCCGTCTATGCAAGCCGGGCACCTCCTGTCACTGGAAAACCTAAAAAACGTCTTCAGGGTACCCTATTTAGGTAGTAAATTCGTCAGTAATTAACCGTAAGTTATACAAATATTCTAATAAGGCTAAACAAACACAACAGAACTCTTTGGTTAAATTAACCAATATAATTGATAAGTGGATCCAAAACATCGAATTGGCGAATTGACCCATGAAATAGTTACTCAAAAATAGTTATGTTACCCTTAAAAAGAGTACAGTAGGCCAAACCCAGTGATTGTTATAGTTAGTAGATTATTTTTTATAGTACCCAAATATATACATATATCACAAATTAAACAACAGATTTATTTACGTCACTATAGCACAGGAATTTATACGTCAAGCAAGAGAGAACGTTATAGTCGATGCCAGGTAATTTTTCCATTACCCTTTCCAAAAGAAATCCTATAAAATTTAGAGGTGTGGCTTGCACTTGATCTTTAGGTGGTGCGGTAGTAGGTAACAGATTATACGATTTAAGTAAAGTCATAAATATTTTGAAAACCTTTTAAGAAGGATATTAGTAGTTCCGTGTAGATCACAAAAAATAAGTCAAATAAATTTTGTAGTTCACGCTTCTAATGATTATTTTAAAAACATTTTTTGATATCTCTATGCTTACAATTGTATCTCAAATTGAGTGTCACCAATTTAGGTGTTATATGCTTTAGTTTACAACTCTCGTTTACAATTTGCCGAATAAATGAATAGGCTACATTGAGTATATTGTCAGCTACAACTCGGCAAACTTTAAAAATGTCGAAGCTATTAACGATTTACAACGCAAGATTCTAAAGCGTCTCCTACCCGGGATTTCAGTATATGGTTATGTGGGCGGCAGACAAATTTAAGCATTATAGGCGATAGGTACTGATAAGACCAATTCATTTTAGTTAAAATTTATTTTCTAGCATAAAAAATGTGTGCGCACAGATTAGGAAGACTCGGTCAATCGACCAAACCAATACATATATATAAGTTAACAACTTATTTCTAGTTTTACAACTGGAAGAGTCATTGTTTCGGGCGGCTTGTGGGCGTTGGAGTCAGGGTGGCACAATCGCGTAACAAACTTGCGCTGCGTACGAAGCTAAGGAATCTACATCTTAAATCTCAACTCTCTAGCTCTTATACATAGTTTTCGAGATCACAGCGTTCACACGGACAGACGGACATGGCCAGATCGACTCGGCTAGGGATGCTGATCAAGTATATCTGTATACTCTACCAGTAACGGGCATACAAAAAATAGCAATTTTTCTATTCATGATGAGTTTCACTGGACGAAAAATCGTATTCTTTGTAGTGTGACCGAAGTTTTCAAAGTTCATTCGCAATTCATGTAGCATAGTCTTACTGCCAAGCAGCTGGGTTTGTTTCGTTACCGATTTAAAAAAGACGAATCTGCTGGTGCACAAATAAATGGAGTGTTCGCAATACGCCAACATGGGCCTTGAGGGAGTGGAAGCCGGACAGGAAGTCGTCCAGCATGGTCCTTCCCACTGAGATTCTCTGCACTTCAACTATTCTGCGGTTTTGCCCTGTTTTGGTATTTCTTCCTGTGGATTAAGTCCCACAATAATGGGAGTTCTTTTTCATCTGCACTGACAGCCTGAAAGCGTTTTTGGGGCTTTCCTTCCATTTTTGTTTTTTGTTTCCATAACGCGTTTGCACTAACACCGCCAAAGATTAAATTTCTTATTCTAAATCTGGTATTTTTTCTGGTGTTTCCTTAGTTTATGTTTATCTTAGTACCGTGCTGAAAAACAGACCCGACTCTCGCTCACTCCTATTGTTAGCTCCCGGTTTTCGTCGATGTGAGTACTAGGCTTGACATTCCACAATTTTCCTTACAACAGCTAACTCAATTCAAATGCCAAAATACATCTTCCAACGAAAAAATCCCGAATCTCCAAGTATAGAAATCATTTATATTTCTTTAAAATACTGAACAAAAATATTTAAATCCTGAATTGATTTGCGTGTGCGGACCCATTTTGCGCTGAAGCGAGACTTCCAGAGCATGTACTTCTTATGGAAGGGTCCTATGCCCAAAGATCGTGATAAAATTACCCTCGATGGACCGCGATTTTTATACCCGTTACTCGTAGAGTAAAAGGGTATACTAGAATGGTCGGAAAGTATGTAACAGGCAGAATTCAGGCATAACAGGCATATATTCTTGATCAGTATCACTAGCCGAGTCCGTCTGTCCGTATGAACGCTAAGATCTCGGGAACTGTAAGACCTAGGCTATTGGGATTTGGCATGCAGATTCCTGAGATTTGTTTCTGCAGGTTGCCACGCCCACAAAATTCAAAAAATTATAAATGTGAACGCGGATATCTCGGCAACTATCAAAGATAGAGAATTGGGATTTCAGATTTAGATTCCGTAGCCCTTCAGCAGGGTGTCACTCCCACTCTAACGCCCACAAACCGCCAAAACCTATGGCGCCCACAATTTTCTTGCTAGATAAGAAATTTTAATTGAAATGTGTTAGTCTCGTTAAAATAGATTCGTTAAAATCTGTAGCGTTGCCAAATTTCCGACAGACTTTAGCCTGTGCGCAAACCATCCTTAATTTAGCAAAGATCACAACCATGGCTGGATTTTACATCTGACTATTTCAATTCTACATCTTAACATCTTACAAGCGAATTGAAACGAAACTGAGCGAATTCATGGGAGGATGGTAACCAACAGATGGCGCATTTTAATATTTAAAAATTTATAAATTTCAAGAACTATTAAAAACTGATGTATTATAAATTTGAAGAACTTTTTACTATTGGTGTACAATTTATTTTATTGGCCTTAACAAAATATAATCGTGTATCAATTTGAAGAGCTTTTCAAAATTTATGTACAATTATATTTATTCGCCTTAACAATAACTTCGCGTACGCTAAACGATAATTATAAAAAAAAATGAAAAAACAATAAACTTAATTTTTTAGAACTAAGTCAGCAGGCCTGGACATTTATTGTTTTGAATTGAATTCTAAAAAGAAAATAAGATCAAAAACTAAAAAAATGTACACAAAAGAAAACAAAATTTGGTTGCCGGTTTGGGAATTGAAATTAAGCTGTTTGATGTTCTAAGATTGTTGTCTTTAGTTGCCATCATGTATTTGTTTCTTTTTTCGATATGAACGAATTTTTTAAGGGAGTAAGTCGACGAAATGCAATTTTGTTAAACTAATTTTGGTGTTTAATATTATACATAATTTGATCCTTACATTTCTTTTTGCATATAACTGAAAAAGTCGTGTCAATTATACGTAACTTCCTAGTGCTTTAAGATAATACCTATTATATAGATTTGTACCGGTGCATACATTATTAAAAAATATTAATAAATAATATATTATCATTTCAATATTAAAGTCATATCTGCTCTATAATATAACCGTATGATGGTGTACAAACTGGAATCCACCGCAAAGCACGAAAAAATAATGTTGAAAGTGTGTGGGTGTATCTATTTTTTTCCGGACTTTGAGACAGAGGCACGTCAACGAAATAATCAACAAAAGACATAAAAAAGGCAAAGGACTAAGCGAGCGGCAGAAATGACATTGACGGCTATGTGAACGGAATAAAATTTCATCAAAAACGCCACTGTCACAGACACACTCCGCAGCGAGGGTAAGAATTGCAAATGGTTGGAATTGCTACTTTCATCTGGGTCCTTTTTGGATTCTGTTCATGGGGCACTTTCACTCCGGCGCCGGGGTGGCAAGGGGCCAGAGGGCGAGGGTGGCTGACGAGCGAGTGAGTGTGGATGTGAGGGATGAGGGTGAGAGCACACATCATATATGAGGATTTGCGGACCCTTCAGGTCTTCTCCAGCTGCCACAGCCTTGTCAAGGGGCTGTCAGTAGCAAAAACAGAGCCTTTAGATGGCAGCCATGATACATACACAGTTGAAAAGCGAGGTAGGATGTTATTTACCAAAAGACTTCAGAGCTATTTTGCATTCAAACTACAACATTTTTTGAGCAGAGTAACTTTATTATTGTTGTTGGGTACATTTTAAAATGTAAATTCTACGAATTGCGCTTTGTTTCTATATGTGGTACCCTTTTCCCAGTGTACCGAATGTGGATTCGAGAACTTCAACGAGGTTGTTTATTTTTCTACACCCCTGGTTTTCCTTAAAAACGTGTTGACGGCTGTTCCGCTGGCTAAACCTTAAATTTGTAAAAAAAAATGTAAAAAGTGTCCACCAACTTGGGAATCTTTCTTTCAACGCGAATAAAAATTTCTAAACCAAACGAATAGAAACGGAATGAAGTAATTCGAAGAGAAAACAAGGGAGAACGCTATAGTCGAGTACCTCGACTATCAGATACCCGTTACTCAGCTAAATGGAGATATGCAAGCAGCAAAGCGAGATTAAAATGCGCCACCTACCGGCGGTATACAGATTTAAGCGTTATGGGCGTTAGAGTGGGCGTGGCAATTTTTTTTTGGATCAATCGATAGGTATTGACGAGACCAATACATTTCAGTTAAAATTTTTTATCTAGCATGAAAATTGTGGGCGTCACAGGGTTTTGCGGTTTGTGGGCGTTAAAGTGGGCGTGGCAAACTTTTTTTTGGGTCAATCGATAGGTATTGATGAGAACATTACATTTCAGTTAAAATTTTCTATCTAGCATCAAAACTGTAGGAGCCACAGTTTTGGGCGGTTTGTGGGCGTTAGAGTGGGCGTGGCAGTCTACTGAAACAAACTTGCGCTGCGTAGGAAGATCAGAAATCTGCACGCCAAATCTCAATAGCCTAGCTCCCATAGTTTCCGAGATCTCAGCGTTCATCCGGACAGACGGACAGACGGACAGACGGACATGGCTAGATCGACTCGGCTAGTGATCCTGATCAAGAATATATATACTTTATGGGGTCGGAAACGCTTCCTTCTGCCTGTTACATACTTTCCGACGAATCTAGTATACCCTTTTACTCTACGAGTAACGGGTATAAACATGCTGCTGCATTCTGCAGTTGATTAATGATCGAATGTCAATTACCGCAGATACTTTTGAAACTCGCCATCCAAAAAGAACTCGCAAAAACAAATGGAGTCACTTTTATGTTAAGGCACACTATATTTAGCATTTGCTTACAAGTGTAAATGAAAGAAAGTGAGATTGGAAATTATCTTTTAAATAAAAACGAAGTGCATTTTATTTTTCTGACGGTGAAATAATTGTTTTCGATCAGATAAATTTTTCATTGTATTATTGATACCTTTTTAATACATCTTTTTATAAACCATTTAATTATAACAAAATATTGAAAAGTCCTAACTCGTGCAAGTGCAATAGAATTCCCCGCATATGCTCAATGAGTCTCCATGCAATTTTAGATTCTCCCAGAATCCCTACTGTTTTACCAATACTTTGAGTTAGATTTCGAATCGCTCGGTTCCTCTAACTTTTGACTTTTCGCAGCGGCAGTCAAAGCATCTTTTTGCCTTGGCTAATCCAGTCTCATCCTCTTTCATCCCGGATTATCCCAACAGAAGTCAAGGGACACGGCACGGCCCACTGTCTCAACCCTTTGATTAGGCCCTAAAATGTGTACCCACATTTTTCGTGAGAGCCTGGCAGGCTGAAAAGGACAAAACAAAGCCTAACAATTAACTGCGTCTACTGTTGCTAATTTCGCTGGACGGACAAACCTTTTTTGCATACGGAAACAGCGGCACGCCCACCGAAAACACCCACGCGCCGTCGGGCGGCACAAGTGAAGGGATTAGAACGGTAAAGGATTCGCAGCTCTCGTGCTGGGATATGGGATATGGGATTCAGGGACTCCAGTTTGACTTCTGCCCGTTCTCCGTTTGATAAATGCCGCAGGACATTTCTGGCCCTTGCCGGCTACCGTTTTTTTCTCCGGGGCTGGTTGACTATTCCGAGAAATGTCAACTAATTGTTTTCACCTTGCCAATTAGTAGGCCATTTATTGCCAAAACAACCCGAAGCCAAAACAAACAACGAGTGGTATCAAAAAGCTGAAGAGGCATCAATTCTCATTAAGTTTGAATTGGAAACAAATTCCAGGGGACAAAGGAGAGCGGCATAAATAAATCAGTGTGCAGCCAAGGCCAGAGCCACAATTATGTGCAACAATGCACCTCAAGTGTGGCCCTCGGCAGGAATCAATCAAGTCTCATCACTCAAGTCGCAACTCCAGTCCTCCCTCCCTTTTTCTTGTGTGTTCCCTCTCCTTTCCGATTTAATTAATGCTTGGCCATTTATTAAATTGGCAGCTTAGTCTCCTTCCACACACACCTCGGGTCAGTATTGTAGCAATGGATATGGCTCTTACAATTAGAGAAATAATACTAAACACTGGAAGTACAAGTCTACTCCATGCATTGTAAGCAAGAACATAGCGAACAATCAATTATGGATAGCTTACTTACATGCTTATTTCATTTATGGTAATTCACTTTTAAGTACCTACTGCATTACTCTTTATATTTCTCCCAACCATCCCACACCTTGCATCTGAAATAAAATTAATTAAAAACAACATTTAAAATTAAAATAAAATTTAGTAGTACTACTCTTTCTACCCAGGCTGTGTGCCCACTACTCTTCCAAGGATGCCTGCGGTTGGTCCACCTTGCCACTCCCCTCCACTTGCGTGTTGGCTGCCTGCAACCGATCCAGCCTAATTTGTAACCATTAACCCATGTATTATGTTGGGCATGCGAGTGGCCAGGCGATGGATTGGCTCTTTGAGGCCGGACTGGGATATAAATGGCCACATGAATGGCTACGCTGAGTTTTGTCTATTAAAAATCATTTAGAACAAATGGTTTCAGGATTTCTGGTCTCCTCCAATTGTTGCCAGAAGGTGTGAGACTGTTCTGTGGGGCTTAATAGATTAACGAAATATCCCAGAAGCAAATTAATCTCTTTAGATTATATTTGGAAATGGAGGGTGTTGTAGCGTAAGGGGCAAACATCATTGCTTTGAAATGCAGCTTGTCCTTTTAACATGGATGTATATTTTTTTATTTTTCTTATGTCTCTTAGGATATAAAACTTAAAACACGGAAAAAACTGAAAGATCTCATTTACACTTTGACAGAATCTTCAAAACGGTGGGCACCAGGTTGACTTTAGCGTTACGGACATTTGTGGGGGCTGAAGTGGGCGTTAATTTTCATTGAAATAAACTTGCGCTGCCTAAGAACGCCTATAATCTGTTTGCTCAATTCCAATTTGTTAACTCTTACAGTTTCCGAGATCTCAGCGTTAATACGCATACGCTTTCATCGATTTTCCGAATGTGAAATACTCGCCTAAAGGGATGCATAAACAAAGCGAAGATTGCAGGACGCACCTTTGTGGCGATTATATTATTTGGTCGTAACTTTTGAAGGAATGGTCCCAATTGTGCAATTTCTAGATAGGTACATATCCAAATAAATCCAACAAATCCTATTAACACTTTTACAAAATCTCTTAGCGTTATGTATTAGCGTTTTAACGTTTAAGTTCTTTTTTGTTTTATTATTTAAAACAAATAATGACAAAAAGTATTCCTGCTTTAAAATTCCGGTCTCTTTATATTGTCAATAAAGTTTCACCCAGATGATGCCAAGTCCGCAAAAACAAAGAAATTCAGTTTATTTACTATTATTACTTGCTTATTTATTCTCTCTTACAGATTCACATACAGCAAACAGAGTTCATTGAAGAATATAAATGATAGGCACCACTTTATGTCTGCACATAAGTGCATTATATATAAGTAACGTCTTCAAAATGTTCCCAAATTGGCGTTACACTGGGGGCAGAATTTTGAGGTTTTATAGCCCAACTTGAAGAAGCAAGGGAGGCAGACGCAGGGCCAGCAACTGGGGGGAAAAGATTAGATTATGGACTATATTGTTGTCAGCCACTATCGGCGAGTACTTATTACATTTCCCATTATTAAATATAGGCAAACAACTGAGATCACAGCAATAGCACATTTATTTATTGTAACAGTCAAGATAACTTTTTATACCAACTTATCGTAGAGTAAAAGGGGTATACTGCATTCGGTAAAAAGTGGAAAAGAAAGCGCTTTCGACCCCATAAAGTATTGATTTATTGATCAGGATCACTTGCCGAGTCGATCTAGCCATGTAATTGCTTTATTTTAACTGAAATGTATTGGTCTTGTCAATACTTATTATTCTAATGTCTACAAACCTATAAAAGCTAAATGGCCAATTTTATTCTAGATATTTTTTAATTTTATTTTTACTTGTTGTTGTTTTTTCAAGAGGTTCAGTTGTGTTTGGTGCTATTATTATGGCCACAGATGTATCTACCATATATACAATTGTACTTACAGGAAAAAGCAGAGCAACGCAGAGAAGCAGTAAGTCCTTCCAGTACGGTGTTGTTTATGAAGAACGAGAATCGGCTTTTGGCAAGAGGGACAAACTACTGTGCTCACCGGAACCGGGTTTTGGATAGTGATCACCACGGATTGTTGTGGTGACATCGGCTGTGTCGGTGACGATTCAGGAACCTGCGTATAAGGTTGGCGAGGAGGTGACTGGTTCAGAACCGTCTCTGCCGGAGGTGCGGTGGCAAAATAGTTATAGGATGGGAGTTCCACATGTTCGGAGTTCATTATAGATAACAAATATTTTAAGTAAAAACGCAAAACTGAACCTGCAGTTGTTAAAAATTCTCTTCTGACCAATGCAAGCCGCAAAGTGCTACTAAAAGCTTCCATATTGCATGTGCTTTGGTTCGGCGAAAACAAAAAAGAAAAAACTTTATCTTAACATCGCGTTCGGCAGAGATAGACAACTATACGATCGCCCTAGCTTGCATTTATCAATTACTTATCGCTATGCGGACTACTTCACTATCTTAAAAAAACTTAAAAACAAAAATACAAATATTTTCAACTTAAATGGCCGATTCCCTCCCCTTACAGACCTACCCTTAATGTTTTTATTTCTGCGAAAAAAGTTTTTGGTTTATTTCATTTTTCATTTAATAAACAAAGTTCCTGTAAAAAAAAGAGCTATAATATGAACACTTTAGAATTTTTAATGCATTTGAAAGTATTTTTTTCGCACCTTAAATCGTTTTTTGGACACGGAACGGGATCGGATCTAATCGTAGTGCGCACATAGGCCCCCTATAGTATGTTTTATACAAATTGCCAGCTATAGCTCTTACGGTTTGGGCTGCGCGCTGTCCCTTTTTAATTTAAGTCAATCCGTTTATATAGTATATATTGGGATATATTAAACATTTGAATAAATAAATTTTGATGCTAAATCAAAATTTTGCCTAATTGAGCTTAAATTTATTAACATAAAAAATTGTTAATTATGTTTGTTGCTTAATATTAATTCAGCAGTCTTCGTATAAATCCAGTTCTCATAAAAACTGTTTGCGGTGGGTCCTTCGCCGGTGGCAAGTGACAAGTGAAGCTACCGTTGGTCATAATTACGAGTTCCCTTTTCAGTTCTTTTCTCCCTCTCTGGAGGACCCTGAAGTCGCTGTCAAAGTGTTAAATTATTTCCCTAACACGTGCTCATGCTCTCGTAATCACTTTGAGCTGCTAATTTCGACCTCGTCCCGTCCTCGACGTAATCTCTCAGTTTTTTAGCCAGCTCCCTGGACGAGTTCTTGGGTCGTTCCGGTCTATAAGTAGGTCTTAATCCTTTTATCGCTGGGGACGAGTGCGCGCAATTTCCAGTTTCGGGTCCCGAGTCCCGAGTCCCAAAGAGCACTGCTGATCATTTCGCAATGATAAATTAAGCGCTAAGAGTGTTTCCATGTACCCGCCCGACAATCCACTGTCAGGGATCGGGGGTAGATTGATTATGTCCCCATGTCGGGGGACACTCTCCCGGCGACTCGGACTCGGGTCATTGTCAACGGAGGCCACGCCTGACTAACCAGCCACGATTCGCAATAGGACCCCGATTCGAGACGATTCGGGGGAAGTGAGCTAAGACCAGTTTATCGCACACACTCCATCGACGGAGGATCCCACTCTCGGAGAGGATTTCGTGTTCAACATATTTCCAGAAGCCAACAGGTGCCAATGGGCTGTGATCAATCATTGGCGAATCGATTTTTAATTAAGAACTCTTGTTAGCATTTGGCGACCACAGCTCCTCTCCTGCAGCCAGGTTGATTGCCAACAAAGGCCTGTTGAATTCTTTAGCGCGAAAGGAGCTCGGGCCCAATGGACTCTGAATTTGGCTACCCAGCAGCGTTTGGGCCATGATGTTTAAATTTGTCCTAATTAGTTGACAATGAGCGATGATGAATCAGCGGATTATAGTCGAGCACACCAGTGTGTGTGTCTTCTACGGGGAGTCGTGTAGGCGGGTTAAGAAACGTATCTTCGGGGCTATCAATCAAAGGGGTTGTTTAACTCATTCAGGAATCTCACTTTCGCGAAGGCTTCTTAAGTTCTGTGTGCTCATCGCTGAGGAATAATAATTTTCACATGCAATACATTTTAATTTTTGTAAATAAAAGATTTCCATTTATTTTCATTTCCATATACAATATATTCTCTTTATTTTGATATATTTTTCAGTTTTCTGTTTTATTTGTATCAATAAAATAAGTACGAACTTACATACATCTAGATACGCACAACAGATGCCAACTACATTCGTTAATAATATTTATAATTACCATAATCATACAAATAATCAATTCTAGTGCTAAGTGTATGCCACTTAATAGCTATGACAAATCGTTCTAGGCTTTATACAAACTCTTAAACCTGAATCCTAGGGTGCTTAAGTAAAACTCATATACAACATTTGTGGGGAATCGGTGTTACAACTTTATAAAATGTGGGTCGTCTACCTAATGGTCGGTCCTTAACTAACTACGTTCACTGTATACTCCGATTTGTCTTTAACCTTGCCTCGAGTACAAGGTTATTGATTCGAAATGAAAAACAAAACTACAAAGAATGATAGGGATAGCTAATTTACAATGCTGAAGTCATCTTGAAGATCTCCCTGCTAATTCTACAGGGCCGTCAGATCGTAATCCTGTTTGATGTGTAGCTGAAGATTGGTCATGAGATCGGATTGCTGCTGTTGATGGTGTCCGTGCAGGTTCGTGTGACCCAGTTGATTGTTATTGTTGTTGAGGTTGCTGTTGTTGTTATTGTTATTGCCGCTGCCATTGTTGTTGCTGTTGCTGTGGTGCTGCTGAGATCCCGCATACGAGTTGGCCGTCTCAGGTGCCGCCGGTATATAGGGCGGGTTGCCCAGGGACGAGCTGACATCACCGATACTCTCCAAACTATCCGAACGAATGCACTAAACGGGAGGAAGAATCATAAAGTTGGTAGATCAGTTGGTACATAAGTAATCTATAGTCTCTAAGCCCTTGTGGGCAATACTTCTCTATTTGTAATTCTTCTAAGTTAAACGGGATTTAAAGCCAAAGCTAACTTAGCAATATTTTGGGAAATTAGTCACCACATAAAACGCTCGAATATATAATAATATAATATATTAAAATAATATAATATACGTATATTTGACACATCCTAAAAAACTCCTATCAATGTCTTCAAAAGTATTACCTATTTGTTAAATAACCCACAAATCACAATTCAATTTTTTCCAGTTTCCAAGTTGGTTTCGGGCCATACACTCTTTTAAGAACCAAGATTTCGAGTCCAGCCACACTCCAAAACAAAAAGTTCCTGCCCAATTTAAGCAAATCATTTTATAGCGAAATTTGGAACAGGTTTGAATAATTTGTTAGTGTCACTGAGGCCTTAAAAATTTTACTTCAACACCATATCCTTTTAAAATTGTTCGTTCATATATAGTACTTCAATAATAAATTTTTAGGATCTTAATTAGTTTTGTATTCCTTGCTAACTAGCCTAACGTTAATATGTAACTCAAATTGAATGGCCAAGCCTGCTTCGTGCGTGTTCCAAAGTTAATAAAGTGTAATTTGCTTTAATGCATAATAATAATAAAATAAATGAGCACGCAAGAGTGCCAGTTCTGAGAAGTAGATGGCCCTAAGTGCCCGTTCCTGTTGACTTTCAACACGCTCCACTCACCTCATTCATCACCGGAGTCTGCTGCGATTGCTGCTGTTGCGGCTGCTGCTGCTGCGCCTGCTGCTGCTGCGCCTGCTGCTGCTGCTTCTTGGAGGCGGCCCGCTTGGAGGGCTTCTTGGCTACCGGTGTTGGGTTGCCGTTGGCGTCCACCGTCTTCTTGCGCACGTTCTTGGTGTTGGGCAGCTTGTTGTCCTTCTTCCACTTCATGCGCCTGTTCTGGAACCAGATCTTGATCTGCCGCTCCGACAGGACCAGCGTATGGGCGATCTCGATGCGCCGCCGACGCGTCAGGTAGCGGTTGTAGTGGAACTCCTTCTCCAGCTCCAGGATCTGGTGGCGTGTGTAGGCGGTGCGTTGGCGTTTCGGCTCCATTCCCGGCTGATAGGACCCGTTTGCTGGACGGAAAAACAAGAAGGTTCGTTGTGATTAGCCAATATAAGTGGAATTGTATATTCCCTTTTTGAGAAAAAATCAAAGAAAATTTCAAAAAGCATAATCATATTTTTAGTTTTCTAATGAAATAAGTATCAATAAGACTAGATCACTGGAATATTATTATTTTTAATATCTCCGAAGAGTTTCCTGTTTTTTTCCTCCGTGTAAAACATGCGGAGAGAACGCAGGATTTCCATAATTAATGATCAGAGAACATAAACAATATACAGGGGTGGGGGTGGGGCACCACAATTAATACACTTCAAATTGCGTTTCATAACAGGCCAAGTTCTCAATAAATCTCCCAGATAAGTTGACAACCCTTAAAAAGCCCCCGCCGAAGTTTTTCTCGCTTTCACCTTGGAACTGGACAGTCCGCGGGGGAGGGGGTGGTGCCTTAGGGGGCGGGTCAGGGGGTTAGCCCGCGGGCACATGAAAGAACCTTGTCAGTTGGGCCCAGGATAATTAATCAAAATCAAATGGCGCGCAACTGCCAGGATGTCAGGGCTTGTCCTTGGGCCTCCCGAAAAATTACGCGGCCGCAGTTAGTTTTTCCGGCTGGAAAATTAAACACATCTGGGGGTTGCATCCTTCCGCTTTCCCCCTCCATTTTCTTACTCCGTTTTCTTTCCTTTTTATCGCCGCCAGATAAATGCCTCGCACCTGCCGCCCGTCCGAGATGGACATCCATATTTATACACGCTCCATCAATTTCAATTTGCTGCCATCGCCGCTGATGTTTCCATCAGAGTTACAGTCCCTCGCACTTCCCGTCCGGGAGTTGTGCATTTATAAAATTTTCATTGCTCTGTGACAGACAGCTTTCGATTTGATTGAAATATTTCAATCCCAGCTCGGCGGGCCGAAACTTAGATTAATGATATGTGTCCAGCCAACCGTTGACAGGCCCCCCAAAAAGAGGGAGGGGCGAGCACTGGGATGGGTGGTCCACTAGAAAAAAGGGACTCACATGGGTCAGGTCACTACAGATCTACAGAGAAGAGCGGAACAGATGCGTCTAAGAGCTGCTGACAACTTTTTATTTTTATTATCTTCTGTCGAGGTGACAGGTCAAACAATGTTAAAAGTTTCATTTTCAAGGGTAAGAGAATGGAATCCAATATTGCTTGGAGTACCTTCAAATGGTTATATCCTCTTTGCTGTACAAAGTTGGATAATACAGTAAAAAGGTATACCAACATGAGCTGTTCTTGATGAGGAAATATAAAATAATATGGGCATACAACATTTACAAATGAGGTATCCAAAAGAAAATACAGTATGCATTCAATACAAAACAAGGAAGAACGCTATAGTCGAGTACCTCGACTATCAGATACCCGTTACTCAAAGGGAAATGGAGATATGCAAGCAGCAAAGCGAAATTAAAATGCGCCACCTACCGGCGGTAGACAGACTTAAGCGTTATGGGCGTTAGAGTGGGCGTGGCAAATTTATTTTTGGATCAATCGATAGGTATTGACGACACCAATACATTTCAGTTAAAATTTTGTATCTAGCATGCAAATTGTGGGCGTCACAGATTTTCGCGGTTTGTGGACGTTTAAGTGGGCGTGGCAAACTTTTTTTAAGTCAATCGATAGGTATTGATGAGAACAATACATTTCAGTTAAAATTTTCTGTCTAGCATCAAAACTGTAGGAGTTACAGTTTTGGGCGGTTTGTGGGCGTTAGAGTGGGCGTGGCAGTCTACTGAAACAAACTTGCGCTGCGTAAGAAGCTCAGGAATCTGTACGCCAAATCTCAATAGCCTAGCTCTCATAGTTTCCGAGATCTCAGCGTTCATCCGGACAGACAGACGGACAGACGGTCAGACGGACAGACGGACAGACGGACATGGGTAGATCGACTCGGCTAGTGATCCTGATCAAGAATATATATACTTTATGGGGTCGAAAACGCTTCCTTCTTCCTGTTACATACTTTCCGACGAATCTAGTATACCCTTTTACTCTACGAGTAACGGGTATAAAAATCAATTTAATGTGTTACAAGTATGGGAACTGAAATGTGAAACTAGAAAAATAAATAGAGTATTGAGAGCTAAAGTGACTTAAAGTCGTAAGTGAGCATTGAGAGCTTTTTCTCAGATTGGGATTCCTTAAAAATATAAAGTTGAAAGCGATTCTTTATCTTTCCATCATTTGTTTAGCCACAGGCTTAAAGCGAAAGCCATCAAAATATTTTTCGAAAACGTCTACCACATTTACCTTTAACACTTTATATTTAATCAACAACATTTCGCTTAAGACTAACATGTTAGACTAATCCATCAATTATTGATTCGGGCTGCAAGGGAAACAAACCATGAATCGAAAACTAAAAGAGAACCGGCGAGGGACGGCAGTAAAACCGAGGCGAGCCAACTGCAATATCAATTACAAAACCCCAAAGGAGCAGGGAATAAACCAGATAACGAACAACACACCGATTTCAATGTCAGCTGCTCGAAAAAACTCGGCGCTGGCGTTGGCGGCATGCTGCGTTAATTCGTTTTTAATAAGTGCGTATCATTTCATTTCAACATTTCAACGAAACTGCCGGGCCCGCGAAGCGGAAGAACTCGGTCCAGGCAGTCCAAAGGAAACCGCAGTGTCATGGCTTAAGACGAAAAACGAAACGAGAAAGAGTGCCAATTGCATTTGAACCGGCAAGAATGGCAGCCAATTTAAGAAAATGCCAGATCATACAAGGCCAAGGAAATCAAGATTGCACAAGCAATCCCATCGGGGGAGAGGCTCCTCGGAGGGGATGTTAGGTGGAAAAGTGCTAAAGAGCTGTGAAAAAGAATTGGCGCCCCCGGGTGGATTGGTGCGTAGGCAGCAGCTGTCCCTCTCGATTCCGCACTTTCGTTATGGGGCCTGGGTCAGGCTGTCGGCATGTTTGTCCCATCCGAATATCATATGATTTATCATGCGTTTGTGACTCTACATTTTCATGCAGCCAGGGCGGAGAGGCGGATGAAAACTATGTCAGGCATTATTTCATAATCCGCTGTTGTCTGGCGGCCTCATTTGTGGGCTTAAGCCAACCCGATTTTGAGGTGCGGTGGCCACCAGACAACTTCCGGGCTTCGATTCATTGCCTCTTTTATTTTGCATTCGATTCGAGAAGATGCCCGAATATAAATGATTAATTGCCGGCCCGATAAGCTGAGAGTGTGTAAATGTCTGTGATTAATCCGAAAAAGAAATTTGACTCGTGCCAACCCGAAAACAAACATCAAAATTTGTAATGAAAAATAGAAAGAAATCAGCCAAAAATATTTAACGGCTGTCATAATTCATTTATGCAAACATCAGTCAACAGCATTTATAGCCAGCGTGGAAAAACGACACAAACCTGTTCACCTATTAGAGGAAATCGCATTTCGAATGCAGCTAACAAATGGCAAGAAATTAATTTTTGGTCTGCACTAATGAATGCCCGAGCGGAGATTGCGCATACGCCGCGTTATCCAGCTGGGTTCTAAGTTTAAAACTTTACTCGGAGCTCGGTGTTTTTTGTGGATTTTTTTTTATTAAAGTGTGTGAGCTCATGGCAACAACAACGAGAAGAAGAAAAAAGGCAAGTCAACATTTCAACAACAGCGGGAGCTGCATCAGCAGCTTGTCAAGTGACTTGCAATTTGTGGCAGGCAAATAATAAAAATAAACATGAGCTCATGCTACTTACACATGTACGGGCAGAACACCCAAACCCTCGAATGTATATATACCACGCCGTATATATATGCTTACATATGGGTAGAGCCGTGTATCCAAGTAAAGTACCCGCAGCACTTGAACTGGTTGTCGTGCTGTGGGAGAATCGTTCTCCAACTCGAATTTTGTTAATTTAAACGCAAATACTTTGGGCGCTTTTCAATGGCTTTAAGCCAAGTGCACAACTAAATGGAAAAATATGTTAATTTAAGTAGAGTTGAAAGGGTTGCAGAAAGAATATTTTGCGAATATACTAAGCGAAACTAATTACAAAAGGGGAATTACAATTCTTCCCGTTTCCTGCTTAAAATTATAGGCGTACAATTTTATTTACATTTTAGGTTTTGTGATTTTGTATGACTTTTTTTTAAGTTGAGTAATAAGATACATTTTAATTGGTTATAAAAAAAATATTTTGTTACTTTTAAAGTTTAAGCGTTTTGGAAATATTTTTGTATACCTAAGAGCTATTTGTAAGTTAAATTGTTTAAGCTACAAAAATTGTAAAAATATAAACACAAACACCTAAATATTCTATTTTAATTGAAACAAGATATGAAAACCAATATTTTGAAATGACTTTCTATTTCATGTAAAGCTAACTTGATTGAGTTTCAAAGCAATCGTTTTCCCATTTCAAAAGTATTCGTTTCACTTTCGATTCTGGCACCCAACAATAAAAGAAGCCAATCGAATGACCATCAACCATGTTATTCAACTAAGCCGAAAATTCAGCACTTGTCCCAAGACGGAATCGTTTTGTTTTGTTGTGCTAACGAAATGGAAATAGAATGGATCCGAAAAATCAAGCGAAACCGAAACCGAAAGACACCAAAGTGCAGAGTACCAGAAGAAAGACAAGTCGAGCTAAGAAGCTCACGACCCAAACTCAAAGTCCGGCGAACAATGGAGAACGCGTAAGACGACCTTGGAGAATCGTTGCTTTCGAGACAAGAACCCACAGAAACCCCACCAAGTCTATACATATATCATACACTTGTACAAAACCCCAGCTGGACAATGGGCAGAGTGTGGCAGCAGCAATAAAAGCTCCGCTAATTAAAGCCAATTTCAATAATTTGCACAGCTCCAGAGAACTTTATTGGCGTAAATTGCCGAACCAAAACAGAGAGGGCAGTAAAGGGAGTGAAAGAGAGAGCCACAGGGATCGCTAATTATGCTTTGTGAAGAATCCAGCTGAGACTCAGCTGTTCGTGCCCCATCTGTCATAAAGGCGAACTTCTTAATTTTTACTGCGTCATTTTCATCATTGTCATGCCCTGGGCCGCCGGTGATTACTCCCCTGATTCCTCGCCCATACCACCCCCTTTCCCATCGATTTGCACTTTTGCAAAAGGCGCAATTCCCCCCGAGTTTTTACAGCATCTGTGTCTGGGCCTCGTGTATCTGAATCCGAATCTGTATCTGTATCTGTATCCGCGGCTTGCACTTTTTTTGCCCGCCTCTGAGGCTTTTCCGCAAGTCATCGGGTAACTGTGACTCTCAGGCAAATCTGCCTCATGGTGGAAACTTAATCGTGGACTTGCCATTGAAATTCAGTTACAAGGCTGTTCACGTTCCACTGTTCATTGAAAGCGGCTATACCGTATCTGTAGCTGTGTGTATCCCCCTGTATAAACACGAAACTTGTACGGGTTTTAGCCGCCTCATCTCGAGCCGACGTCGTGCATGAAATCAATATTATTCAGTCAAGTCCATCACAGAATTTATTTCGTTCAGTTTTAGCATTAACATGCGGCTCAAATGGTTCTCAATAAATGTTCTAAGGCTAAACATTAAAGTAATGTATGCATATCTAAGGAGCATTTCAAGAAGACTACTTATTGAAAAGGTTGTGATTCCAAGCCTGGTTTGTTTCTTTCATTTATTTTTCCGACACCTCTTGACCTCCAAAGAATCTTACTTGTACATTAAATTATATTAAAGTAAATAAATTGATCTGATTCGAAAAGTATAGTCTCAAAATTTAAATAAATTTACTTTAACTCCTTACATCGCTCTAAAGTCTAAACGTGATCTAAGCCAGAGATACTAAAATGGGAATTACTAAGCTTATTAATTCCAAACTTCGAATTCATATTTGCTTTGAACACAGGAATATCATCATTATCATTAAAATAATGTATGCACATTTAAGGAGCATTTCAAAAAGAAACCCCGTTGAAAAGGTTGTGATTACAACCCTGGTTTCTTTCATTGATTTATTTTTCCTATACCTCTTGACTTTCGAAGAATCTTACTTGTACATTAAATTATATTAAAGCAAATAAACTGATCTGATTCGAAAAGTGTAGGATCAAAATTTAAATAAATTTACTTTAACTCCTTACATCGCTCTAAGGTCTAAACGTCATCTAAGCCAGAGATACTAAAATGGGAATTCCTAAGCTTATTAATTCCAAACTTCGAATTCATATTTGCGTTGAACACAGGAATATCATCATTATCATTAAAATAATGTGTGCATATTTAAGGAGCATTTCAAAAAGAAACCCCATTGAAAAGGTTGTGATTACAAGCCTGGTTTATTTCATTGATTTATTTTTCCTATACCTCTTGACTTTCGAAGAATCTTACTTGTACATTTAAATTATATTAAAGCAAATAAACTGATCTGATTCGAAAAGTGTAGGATCAAAATTTAAATAAATTTACTTTAACTCCTTACATTGCTCTAAGGTCCAAACGTCATCTAAGCCAGAGATACTAAAATGGGAATTACTAAGCTTATTAATTCCAAACATCGAATTCATATTTGCGTTGAACACAGGAATATCATCTAATTGAATTTGGCTTACAAAACAAATACACTTTTTATTTTATTTTTTTCAATATGCTTGTATCATTCTCCTTAATTAAGTTAAATGGGGCCAATAATTTAGCAGAAACAGGTGTTGTTCTTGAGGATCTGAGACATCGAAAGTTTATTTCAGCGGAGTGCCACTCTAAAGCCCAAAAACGCCCATACGCCCAGGCTTAAACCTGTCTATCGCCCATCTTTTTGAAGTTTCTTTAAAAGTGTAAATGACATTTTTTTATTTCAGCATTGTGCCACGCCCACGGTGACGCCCACAAACACCCATACGTCCACGCTTAAACCTGTCTAGCGACCATATTTTTGAAGATTTTCCAAAAGAGTACATTTTTTTTTGACTATCAATATCTAACTTTATGCCAAAAATTGTCGAAATCGGAATATTCATTAAAAAGTTATAAGCAAATAAAGAAATCGACGCTAGATGGCGCCGTCGCGGTGTGTACAATTGTGAACAGTCGCTTTGCTGCATATATCCATCTCCATCTCACTCTTCTTAGCTGAGTAAAAAGTATTTGATACTCAATGTATTCGATTATAGCGTTTTCTCTTGTCAATTTTCGCATAATTCTCTTACCAATTTCAATGTCCAACGGATGGTCTAAGCAAAATTGTTTTTACAAATAAAAAAAATCTACAGTATACCAAATGGCTTACACTTAAAACACACTTTTAAATACTTTTTTTAAAAATCGACAGAAATTTCTTGTTTTTTGTTCAACAAACCTGCTTATGCAATTTAATACTATAACTTTCTTTTAACAATTAACAGTCGAATATACGAGTATTTCAGAACGTAATCTTATCAATCGCACATAACTTGTTAACTCGGAGATTAAATGAAGACCGACTCCATTAAGTTTTCATTACCTTTCAACACTTTTAATGGCAACTATTAAATAATCCACAAATTGCTCCCCAATCCGATTCACACCTAGCCTCGCTCTTTCCCCCGACGGAGTTTTGAACAAGTTTTAGGCCGCCTCGGGGCAAACGCAACATAAATTGAGCAAGAGACCACACGCCACATCGGAGGCATAGTTTGGGCCTTAGTTTCGGGCAAGTGCTAAGCGAGTGTAAGTCATTTGTAAAGGGAACAACATGACACCGAAGGGGACCCGGGGTCACGGGTTTTGGGGTATAACGAGACGGATGCCAAGACGCTGGCTGAGATGATGCACTGGCGATAATCAAGTTTCGTCTTGTTCTCGTGGTCGTGCGCTCATGATAAATGTCACAACATTAACATCAAATGACACGGACCATCCGTCACTCGGTCGGAGTTTTACCTCAACGGTGTGGGGGGGTGCGGTATCGGAATCGGAATCCGAATCCGAAGCGGAGTCGCTATAGTATACCATGCGACTGTGTCAAAAATGCCCCTGAGCGATCGTTTGTCTGTCTGTCCCACTGTCCGCCGCACTACTTCGATATTTTGTTTTGATGTTTGATTTTTTGATGCTGACACTCAAAAAAATATTTTTACAAAAAAGAAAGTATAGAAAACATATATTACGGCCACGTTTAAAAAAAATTAGTTATTTCTTTTAAGCAGTTAAATGAAATCAAATGTAATTGCAATTGTAAGCAAACCCAAAGTGAATTGTTAAAAATATGATATCTTTCAAAAATCTTTTTTCCGACTTTCTTCAAAAGATTTTAAGATTGCGAACAGTCCTACATTTTTTTTCGGTGAAACAACAAATTCCCAGTGAGACTAAAACCTGGAGTGGGTACTGGGAAACAGATGAACCGATGAGGCATTTGACAATGAGCGAGTCAGAGTGGCGTTAAGCGAAACGTTATAATTACCCATTTGGGTCAAGGTTATGGTCGAACTGGAGTACTCCGACGCTGTCCTAATTAAAAAGCAATCTATCAGTTTTTTCGTACCTCTTCCCGATCCTCTAGTAAATGCATTCGTCACCTACTTGCTGCCCGAGGCATCCCCAATTCAGTATTATTAAAACAATAAGCGGCGACAATCGCCAGTTGGTCAGTGGATATTGTTGGTAGCACACTCGGCATATGGCTGAATGAATTCCCGCGTTGGGCGCGACAATTAAGGGTAATTATCTCTGCCAGGCCAACACTGTCAACTCAACTCAACGGAATCCATTCAGTCGGTCTCTGGATCTGGTGAATGGAACCCAGTAAAAACCTGTTCTCCACGTCCGAGTTTACTCAAAGGTGCATTCAGTTTTTGTACCAAGAATAATGCGACACCATATTCATAAGATCTCTGTTTGTTGGACCTAAAGAATGAATATAAGTCAGTCAGATTGGTTGCAAATTGTGTTGTAAAGGGTTAGAAAGCCCGAAAAGCCAATAAAATTGCGTATTGTATTGATGTTTAGGTACATATTACTCGAATTTCGTCAGAAGATGTTTTTATGGAAAAACATGAATTACAGAAATTTATTCCTTCCTGTTCCATTAAATTCAATATAAGGTCATACATGCAGTCCAAGACAGCAATTCTCAGTCTCCTCTATTCAGATATTTCAATTGGCACTGTGCCATTCAACAGTCAAAGTTGACTTTATGTCGCTTCAAGTGCTAAAAGAACCACTGAAGAGACCTTATTACCAGGAGCCGCTTAAAGTGCTGATTGCAGGCGAATGGAACACACTCGGCGATATGTGCATTATAATATATAGGAGCAGTATGTACAGGAACTCGTCATTTGGTGAACACGGTTCGCCCCTCGACACAAGGCGTGGCACTCTTGATTTTGATTAATGAGCTTGGAGTCGCAGTTTTCTTTTTCTGTTACCCGGTTGGCTGGTGTCTTTGGCTTTTATTTTGTTTATTTTCATTTCTGTTTTCGCCAAAGAACGAACATTACAGGGGCCTGTCAGTGGATCAAGTGGGTGTTGGCAGATAAGTAATTTAATTAGCATACCCCGAAAAATGGGCCACAACATGGGGGCGCAACACAGAGGGGATGGAGTAGGGAAAAGAGAAACTTTCAACTTACCCACTCCCGCCACATGGATCTTCTTCATCCATGGGTAGATGATCCGTTCGCCATCGGTCGTCTCCGCCATCAGATCATCTTCGCTGTCTGAGTCCCCGAGATCATCGTCGTTGTCGTTGGAGCCCAGTTCGTCTGGAGACCGATCCAGCATGAGCCGATCCTCCTCCGACATGTCGTCCTAAACAAGTCAATCAAAACTTCGATTATACGTTGTCTTTTGGAATATCTTTTCAGGGTATTTACGTTTTCGGATCCCATATCATCACAGCGCAATCGCATCCCCAGCTCTTGCAGTTGTTGTCCAGCAGGTACAGCTTCTTCAATGCGTTTCTCTAGTTTTAAGCCTGCAGGGAACGGATATTGTTTTATTTTGGTACACAAGATATCTTTTTAGAAGGATGAAAAATAGTTAAAATTACAAATTGAGTGGTATATATTATATAGTCAATAAATTATTATTATAAAGTTGCGACTTAGCGCAAGGAAAATGTTAGGTTTGCTATTTATTACCTTACTGTTGGGACTTGAGATTTAGCAGCCTTTGAGTACTATACTTAAGTAGTACACTTTAAAGTTACACAATTTACACAGCCAATAAAAATCAAACGTAAGCTTAAAACTGCATCTTCAAAAAAATAAATTGGTTTTATAATTTGTTTCTCAAAATCCTTGAGTACTCCTGAGATTGTGATTTTTTCCACCAAAAATAATAAAATAATGGATACTTCGGTCCCTGGATTTAACCCAAGTCATTTACCCAATAATTTAAATTATGCTTAGGCAGCTTAGTAACCACATTCATACCTGTTTTTTAATACATTTTTCATTACGGTATTTATAGTAATAATTGAGAACGGATAATAGCCAAAATCGAGTGTTCACCTAAGATCAAAAGAGTTGCGATTTAGTCTCGGAAGCAGATACAACTTCATATTGATTTTAAGGATTTGAGAATGATTCTAAGTTAAACTTTTTTTCATTTTGAGATTGTGAAAACTGTTTTGATAACGGGTTTTTTGTTGGATTTGGGTATAGTTTAATGGAACCTCTTCCAAAAAATTATCGTTCAATAGAATTTAGGATACTTACGTGATAAAACAGTCATGAAATCTGTTCATCACATTCTACCAACGTAATTAGTATCCGGCTCGTAGGACCTCGCTTTGAGATACTTGCAAAATACGTCTTCAAGTCTTTAATTGCTTGAAACTGGCATTCTACAGATCCCACAATTTTAACAAAGGGATATGTCTCTAAGCGACCAGGAAAAGTAACGATTATAATAACGTTGACTCACCTAATTCCTGCAGCCCCAGTGCCGTGTTCGTCGGTGGTTCCGTGGAGCTGCACTGCAGGGGCAGATCCATCATTTGGGAGTGCGGCGAGTGTCCTTGGGAGTGGGTGCTGCCGACGCTCCCGTTGGCCGCCCCATAGCCCCCGCCGTATCCGCCGTAATATCCATTGGCCGATCCACCCACTGCTCCACCTCCGACCACTCCTCCGCTTCCTGCGCCGCTGCCATTGCTCGAATTTGGGACGTTTACCGCCGGACCGTACCCGTTCGTGGGATCGGAGTGCACCGCCCCCGCGGATATGAACTCGGGGGCGTGGTGCACGTAGTAGCCGAGGCTCTGGTGCGGATGTGCGTGCGGATGCGAGTGCGGATGTGAGGGCGGAGTGGCGGTGGCGTAATTGGAGCTATACCCGCCGGCGGATGGCTGGTGGTGTCCGGATAACGCACTATTGCTATGGTGGTGCGGCAGCGAGTGGGTGTGCGAATGAGAGTGGCTGTGCGGATTGTGGTGGTGCGCCATATAGTCGCTGACCATGTCCGCCGGATGCATGGCGTGCGGATGTCCCGACATCCCGCCTGCTCCACCGCCACCCACCGACCCAACACCTGTCCCTGCCCCGCCGCCGACGGCACCGCTCATGTGACCCGTGGAAGCGGTCATCGAGTAGTGGCCGTTGTAGTGATGATAGTCATCGGCCACCGGCGGGAACTTTGGGTCCAGGCTATTGCCCATGGACATGGGACTCTGGACATGATGGGGGGCATGCGGATAACCCATGAGGAAAGAGCTCATGACGGAGGATCGGGAGGTCGTGGTGCTCCAGAGGGAATTTGGGCTTTTTATTTTTAGATGCTTTCTTTGACACTTTCACTCGGCTTGCACATATTCTGTAGCTTTTGCTTTTAGTTTAGTAATTATTGGTTGTGGTGCATTCCACTTATCATTAGTACAGATTTCTTTTAATATTATGTTGATTATTATAAATAAAAGCTTTTTTTATCAGAACACGTTTGTCCTTATATTGTAACAACTTTTTCGGGAAATATTGTTGGTTATCTAAAACCAATATCACTGCTTGTTCACTTTTAATGTTTTAAAAACTTTTAAGCTTGAGTTGCACTTATTTTTGGCACTTTCGAACCTTCGAACCTTGTGATTATGAAAAACTTGGTTATAGCGCTATTTTCCGGTTTTAAAAAAACGATTTTTATGAATTTAAAACACACACTGGCAGAAAAGTCGGACGCTTCGGTTTTACGAGTGCGCTGCGAACACGAACCGTTCCATTCGAGCCGATTTTTTGTTATGCTCGCTGGCGATAACTCTCCGCGCGAGCGAACCTGTTTCGCCACTCTTCGCTCGGCCGTTCGCTCTCTCGCTCGCTCTCTCCCACCGCCATTGCCATCAAAACGGGTTTTCACTGCGGCAACAATCGAAGGACGGCCCACACACACACGCAGCGCGATGGAAGGAGAGCCATGCATGTATCGCAGCCATGCTGCTCGCTCTTTTCTCACCCTCCTCCTCGGGCGCCATTTTCCACCACCGCACGGCGTTCTCTCTCGTGTGCGAAGGAGAGGGAGCACTGGGGCCAGAGCGAGATGGCAGGAGGTTTGGTCACACCCATTCAGAGCCGCCGGCACAGTGAGGGCATCGAATATTGAGCCAGTTGAAGGAAAAATACTTTGGAAACTCATGGTGCTTATCTGGGAAGGTATTATACCATAAGGTATTGTTTGAACTAATGGAATCATATTCTTAGTAACTAGTGTATTAAATCGGACTAGTTACATTTTTATAAATTTCCTTATTTTTTAAGTATTTAGTTTGTTTATATATATATTGAGGAAAGGAGAAGAAACCTTGCCACAATATTTGTCAACATAGGGAATATAAATAAAAAAAAAAATAATAGACAGCTTGGTTTTATAAAATTTTCAATACAATTCAAGGAATTTCTAATTTAATTAAGTACGATTTTCGGTGCTACCTACTAAACAAAATTTATATCTAGCACTAACTTTAAAATGTTCCTTTGAATTTTTTTGTAAATATTTATTATTATTTAGCACTTATTCAAAGTGTCGACCACCACTGTAGTGCTGACTAATGCCAATTTAGCCGGCCTCGACTGTACGACCCTCTCACAGATACAACATTTTGGTCGTTTTTTGCTGCGACTGTGGTGGTAGCTCGGCAGTCATGGCGCACGCTCGAAATCTGAAGTCGGCGAAAAAGTCGTCTGGTCCAAGAAGCACCGCCCATTTTCAGAGGGCTTTCATCGATCCCCGACAAGACATAAGTGTGGATATGGACCAGACCATTTATTTTCCACTTTCGGTATTGGGTTCCTATAGGAACGCGTGGAGATGCAGCGAACTCTTGGATAACAGCAGTATTGATCTTGAAGAGGGGAAAGGAACTATTGGATGCCGATTTCTCCGACTGAAATCAGCTACCGAGTTGGAGAGTCTGGGCTGACTTGCAATAATTTCAATTGAACAACCAACGAATATCACTTTGGCATAATGTTCTCCTATGTGATTATTGTTGTGGTCTCGCTGGGGCTAGGACTGTTATTGTTGTTATCATTACTACCGTGATTTCCCTCCGATGCTGTTGTTATGGCGATGACGGGCATTTATTCAAATGAAGCAAGCAAAACATGGAAAATCGATAGAATGATTGTTGTATAATGCATGTCGAGAAGGTCGGGCATTTAACGCTTTAATATTGTTTTTAGTAAATATTTAGACTGACTCATAAACCGCATTAAGATGGAAATGGTCGAGTTAAGGTGATAAATGCTTGTATTTTGGAGTACTTGCTGAAATATTCGAAATGGATTGTGATTGAATTGATTTATTATACAAGTCAGAAGTTAAATATATAAGCTACAGGACATTCGCTATTATTTTAATGTTCAATTTTCGTATATATTATTGCATATTAAGTTCGATTAGTAAGGCCTTTCTAAATATGTTTTTAGGAATGTATTTTAGATAAAGTGATTCATTTTACAAAAGGGGTACGCTTTTACTCTTTCCACATGAAAATAGTAGCAGAAATTCGTGTCACACTTCTGAAGTGTGTTTCTGGATGTGACTCCGGCTAATTGCCGAATAATTGAACCGCCCATAGACTCACCAAAAATATCTTAACCCCCTCACAAATGGGTCCACGTGCCACCTCCGCCGTCAATTCCATATGTTAACTGGAGGAAGGCGATAAAGGAGGTAGGGCCACTAATTAATCGACTTCCAACTGATTCGATTTTGATGGTCACCATCAAAACGTCATTAGGCCAGTTAAGTGTATAAAACTTAAATTTAGTCTGCGGTTCGTCGGCCAGCTCATGGGTGTAAATGTTGGTTTAGGTATTTACTCCACGTTAAAGTGTTCGAGTTAATTGACTAGCGAATGTTAACAAATGAGAGTTGCATGTTAACTAATAGTATTGTGTGGTTCATTACGCTCCTTTGTTTACAAAAAAAATAAAATAAAATTGTTTATAAACTCACAGTTTTTTTTAAATTCTACGGATTGGCCACTATGATACAAAAGTATTTAGCTGGTTTGAATCGCACTAATACTTTGTATTCTTTGTTTTGGCGAAACTTAAAGTTAAATAATTATTTTAATAATCACAATAATAACCATACATGTGCTAAAAATGTTTTGAAGTTTTATATATTTTAAATAAAAACGTATTTAAAAATGGGGAATTATGTACCCTAAAAAGTAGAATTTTAAAACTTCTTGCTACTGCTTTGTGATTAGACAATTCAAAACCTTAAGTATATATTGCTACAATGTAAGAAGAATTTTGTTTCTTGAGTCGAATGCAATTTTCACCCTTGAATAAAAAAAAGCCAAAATTGATAAAGAAACCGTATATTTAAGAAACAACATTAAGAACATCATTTCTAAGAAATGCCGTTCTATGGTGAAATTTTCTGCAGTTCTATAATCTTTTCTCTATTTTAGAATTTTTCTTAAACACAGAAAATTGTATTTTTTCTTTGTTTAAGATAACAACAGTAATTTGTTGAGTATTTAAGAGTCTTTCTCCTTAAATTACTTGTCAGAAAATACAGTTTTTATCGAAATATTGTTTGTTTATCAATTTTCTTTATCCCTATTTTGAACTAAAGCCTTTTCTTGAATATTTTTCATTGCGTCTTTAGCATATTATATTCCTCCTTAAACGTTGGCCGAGGAACTTGCGAGCTCACTCGCATTAGTGGCTGCTACATTGAATTTTCTCAGCTCTGACACAGCTCCTTAGGTGGATGGAAACTCAAGGTGGGTGGTTGGGTTACCCCCCGGACTCGGAGGACTGAGGGCTCGCTGAGAGCTTTTCGTCAGCGGGGGATGCTATGTGGTACAAAAAGGACGACTCCGAAGGGGAATGTGTGTTTGTTGCTATTGCCTGCTCTTTGTCCGGGGCATTTGAGTCCGAAATCCCAATTCAGATCCAGCAATCAGTTGCGACTGTCAGGCGGCGGCAGAAGGAAGTTCACTTGCTGCACGAGGCAACACAGAAACGTGATTAATGATGTCGCATCCACATCCACCGAAGCACATTACGACCACCAATGCGAATATATGTATATATTGAGAACCACCATGCCTTGAGTATGGGATTTTCTTTGTTTTCAGCTCGCTTCTTTAAGCCAGCCATCAAAAGTTTGTGATATAAAATTAAGAAGCCCGAGAGTGTGTGATCGAATAATATTATGCAAAAGGGGTGGTATCCACAGCCACTGATTAGTTGCTAATACTAGCAATTAGGAATATGCTAATCATGGGAATGGGCACGCAAAACTTTTTTGTGATATCCCAGACATTTTTCTACTTTGGCAAACTTATGCTGATTTAGGTAAACTTTTCTCGAATCTTCTATTGAAATTTCATATTTTCGTTTATTGTACCTAGTAAACTAAGAAATGTGGCACTTTCTTTGACTTCAATTTGCTACTTGAATGCACACAAAAGTAACCTCTGAAAAAATTTTACGATGTAATAATTATGTGGATCCAACCCATGGAAATTCCATTTTCCTCAATGAAATAGTTAGTCTCACAACAACCCACGCTATTCAATTTTAAAATTAGTTGTAAAGGCAATTTTACAGTAGGTGTACTATTAAATAGTAACTCAAGCAAATGCAAAATAAATACCTTCTTAATATTAGTAAAATATCATTTATAGTTGCATACCTAATAATTTTACACATCATATTTTATTCAGTCAATGATAAATATAATTGAAGTTCAATAGTGTTGGCATTATTAAATTGATCTTAAACGATGTCTTGGTCTGATTTTGCGCTTGGAACTTTCTTCAGTTCCATACATTCTCAAAATAGTTAGTAGGTTTTTTTAGATATATAATATTTTTTCTAACAAAACGTAATGTTTGGATTGACCACATTCTCCTTATATATAACCATAAGCAGTATAAATATTTTCTTACGATAATTTTTATATTGAGAAGAATCTCGAATCCCTTATTTTTGCGCCACTCCCCAACCACCCACTTCCACCACATAGACAGCCTTCAGTTAGGGACTGGAATTCCAATCAATCTGGTATGGAAATTGTGTTAACGACATGTTGACAAGTAGACGTAGATTCCGCCTAACCAGGGGAACTCTGGGGATAAGGAATGGGAATGGGAGAATCAGGGATGTTGATTAGCTCGAGACCCAAGTGGAAAGCTGGAGGTTCTTCCAGCGAAAACAACAGGACAATGAAGGCTGCCAGGAATCGTTTGCCAAATGATTGATTGAGTGATTAATGATTGACTGACTAGCTTACTGAACGCCCCTCAAGTGTGTGGCTCTCAGAATTAAAGCCAGTTTTGACTTTTATAGTCATTAAAGTCATATTTACAATACCAATCGAAAGTTTGCATTTACCTTCTCACTTCCCCAGAGACCTGAAACAATTAAATGTGGTTCAAAATATCTCTGGCCATTTATCACCGGCCTCAACTGTTTACCTGTCATATTATGCCCAAATCGGGCCTAGATGAACTCCAAGTCCCGAGCGGAGATGAATGTTTAACGAAATTTACACTGCGGCTGTTTAAAATAATTACACGAATCACTTAAATGAGTCGAAGCCGATCGCTTTGGGGCTATACGAAAAAAGCGGAGACTGGAACTGGACAGGCACCCATTACCATGACAGATTATCTCTGATTGATTTAATTTTGCTGCACAACTCACCATAATGAAGCCTCCGATGGGGACTCGGAATATCTCGGCGATATCTGCTGCATGTGGACCAGACCAAAGCTTCG